TTTCATAATAGTAACATGTTTTTCTATAATAACGACATACTGTGCTAGAATTTAAACAACCATAAGAAAACTGGTTTCACCATAAGTATTTAGACCATTACAAATTAAAACTAAAAACTAACAAATAAAAGTAATAAAAGAAGATATTATACGATTTTAGGTTTGAGTTTAGATTTTATATAGAATAAGAGAAGATACTATGGGGGAGGATGTATAATAAAAATATATACTATTTGTATACGGTCTGGATCGGTTCCAATCCGGAACCGTGGGGTTCAATCCGGAACCAATCCGTGTACTGCGGATTTTTAATTTATCAATCCGGAACCGAACCACGGATTCAAAAAACCAATCCAAACCTATCGGATTAGACTGGATTTTCACGGATTACGGATTCCTTGCTCAGCCCTAGTTATATGTGTTTAAAGAACGATCTCAATTATTCACTGTTTTTCAATCCTTCTATGCTGAAATAACCAATCAATTTAATGCTAAACTTCTTGCCCTTTGGATTGATAATGCTCTCGAATATCGTCTTGGCACCTTTCAACAATTCTTTGAGTCAAAAGGTATCATTCATCAAACATCTTGCGTTGATACTCTTCAACAACATGGAATTGTTGAAAGAAAGAATGGGCCTGTTCTTGCTATTGCTCGCTCTCTCATGATTCAAATGAATGTCCCTAAACATTTTTGGGGTGATGCCATCTTGACTGCAACATATCTTTTAAATAGAATGCTCTCTCGTATTCTGCATGGGAAATCACCTTTTCAGATAATGTTTCCTGATAAAAATATTTTTTCACTACCCCTAAAAATGTTTGGCTGCATTTGTTTGTTCATAATCTTAGTCCCAATCATGACAAACTTGATCCTCGTGCACACAAATGCATTTTTCTTGGTTATTCTTGTACTAAAAAAAGGGTATAGGTGCTTTACACAAACAATTCGTTAGTGCTGATGTCACATTCTTTGAAGAGAGTCTATATTATTCTTTTGCGGATGGTCAGTTAGAGGAAGCTTTTTCTATTGAACCCGTTATCTCTACTGTTGTTCCTGCTCTTCCTCCTATCTCTCAGGTCTATGTTCCTCGTCGACCACGAAGTGTCTCTTGACGTCTCCCGCGAAGTGTCTCTATTGTTCCTGTCCATGAGAATGTGGAGTCTATTCCATCCCTTCCCGCATTGGCCTCAACGTCTACAGATCCACCTCTTCATCATCTTGACTCTTTGCAAACGTAAGCGCATATGTACTGAACATCCTATATCAAACTTCGTCTCTCTTGATCATTTGCCTTATTATTTTAAGCATTTTTCTCTATCTGTATCCTCTACTACTATTCCAAAGTCTTACAGGGAGGCTCTTTCTCATCCTGGTTGGAAAACAGCAATAGAGGAAGAAATGCAGGCTCTGAAGTTGAATCATACTTGGGATCTTATTCCTACACCTATTGATGCATAGGTGGTTGGTTGTCGTTGGGTGTTTACTATCAAGAAAAATCCTAATGGTACTGTTGATTGTTTAAAAATCCATTTGGTTGCTAAAGGATTCACCCAAACCTATGGCATTGATTACACTGAAACTTTTTCTCCGATTGCCAAGTTGAATTCTGTTCGTATTAATATCTCTCTTGCAACTTCTCTTAGTTGGCCTATTCATCAACTTGATATAAAAAATGCATTTCTTCATGGCGATCTTATCGAGACTGTTTACATAGCTCAGCTGCCCGAGTTTGAGTCCCTGGGGGAGTGTGTTTGTCATTTCAGAAAATCTATTTATGGACTCAAACAGTCTCCACGGGCTTAATTTGACAAATTCAATAAGGCAGTCATCACACATGGCATGACCCGCAGCCAAACAGATCACTTTGTCTTCTTTAAAAGGACAAGCATTGGCATTATTATATTAGTTGTCTATGTTGATGATATTGTCATCATAGGGAGTGACAAGGAAGGTATCCAAACTCTTATTCATCATCTTGGCTCAAGATTTCTTACCAAGGATTTAGGTCAGCTTCGTTATTTCCTTGGTATTGAGGTAGCAAGGTCAAAAGTGGGTATCAGTTTATCTTAAAGGAAATATACTCTTGATATTTTGGAAAGATACAGGTTATCTTAGCTCCAAACCAATTTCTACTCCCGTGGATGTGAACTTGAAATTATTACCTAACATAGGTGATCTTATTGATGATCCAGAGATGTATAGAAGGCTTGTAGGTAAACTTATTTACCTAACTATTACTTGTCCTAATATCTCGTACGTTGTTAGCATTGTGAGTCAATTCACGACTGCTCCTCCGATTCCTCATCTAGATGCTGTCATTCGCATCTTGAAATATCTCAAAAAATGCTCCAGGGCATAGACTTCTTTATCGGCCTTGTGGACATCTTCGTATTGAGGGATATACTGATGCTGATTGGGAAGGGTCACCATCGGACAGAAAATCCACTAATGGTTTCTGTACCTTCATTGGAGGTAACCTTGTAACTTGGAGAAATAAGAAACAGTCTGTAGTTTCTTGGCCTAGTGCTGAAGCCGAATATAGGGCAATGACCCATACTACTTGTGAAATCACATGGTTGAGGACTTTTTTACGAGAATTTGGTTTTCCTACAAAAGCCCCAACTTCTCTCTATTGTGACAATCAAGCTGGCATTCATATTGCTAGCAATCCCGTCTTTCTCGAGAGAACTAAACACATTGAAGTTGATTGTCACTTCGTGCGAGCCAAAGTAGAGTCCAAAGAAATCTCCACTCATTTTGTTCATTCAAGGTGTCATCTTGCAGATATCTTTACCAAAGCACTTTCTAAAGGTGCCATTGACTCGATATGTGACAAGCTGGGAATGATTGACATCTATTCTCCAGCTTGAGGACGAGTGTTGATATAGTATATATTTTAGTATATATTGTATAGCTGTGATAGAACATAATTAGTGTGATAGAGTATAATCAGTGGGATATTGTGCCCTTATTTTCTATTTCCTATTTTGGGTTGTAATTGATGTATAAATATGCTTCTTACTATGAGATGAATATTGTAAAATAAATTGATGTATATTATTGATTGATGTTTTGATGATGTTCTGTCTATTACAAATGGTTCCTTATATAGATGTAGGTGTAGTGGATGGTGGTGGTAGGTGAGTGTAGTAGGTGAGTGTGTGGTAGGTGATGGTAAGCGTGTGGTAGGTGATGGTAATTTATACAATGTACATTAACATTGACAATGTCCTCTTCATATCCATTGAAGTAATAGTAGTAGATATCCAAAACCGCAGCAGGTTGAATCCAAAGGAGTATGGATGGGACGTGACAATCACGCGCCACCGCGGCTGCCCAAGGGAGGAGGAGGGTGTGGACAACGCACGTGACGGAGCGGCCTTCGTCGGAGCTGGTGGTCATGACATCTGTAATTTTTTTAGAGCAGCTAATTTTCATCTGAGAAAAGTATTGTTGGATATCGTCCCCGGGTTTAAAACCATCATCCGGAAAGGCGACAAATTTCAAGCCCTCCGGTGTTCCGGCAGTCATGCGGCGTTGGGCGGAGAGACCGGTGGTGAAGGTGACCTGGACGCCCATCGAAACTAGACGCTTGGCGAATTGGAGACAAGGGTTGATGTGGCCCTGTGCCGGAAAAGTGACGAGGAGGATGTGGCGGTGTACCATATTGGCTGCGGCGCGTGGGGTGGTTTGGAGTTGTGTGTTATGTTTCTTTTTTGCTACTCTATCCAAAAACCCAGTGTTGTTTGTACGCTATTGGCTTGAATTGATATAAAAGCTCCGTTTGTTGGAACGTCCATTTGTGCTAAAATAATTATGAATGATGTTTGGGACCTTTTGGGGTCACCCATCACTCCTTTGTCACGTGGTGGTGGTGATTGGAGGAGCAGAAAAAAAAAAAAATACAATCAATGAGAGAGAGGTTAAAGGGAGTGGGAAAAAAAGAGGATGAATCATTGTTGATTATTGATGTATGTGTGAGATTTATTTATGTACGTATGAAATTCATACTATCAATGATTAAGATTCAAAAAGAATTGTAGAAGTCCTAAAAAAAAAATCTCAACCATTGTTGATAAGTTATTTTAGTTAAATAAAATAAAATGTCACATTTAATTTAAAATTATTTTATTTTATCTCTTACAAAAATTAAAAAAGTCTAAAAATTTATTTCAAATGAGTGTTTTTAGCTCTAAGTTAAAATAATTGAAAATGAAAAAATAAAAAAGTCAACCTGCATTTCAAAACTCAAAGCATAATTATAAAAAGAAAAATATTATATGTCTCAAATTTTTTTATAAATAAATGGTTAAATACTTCTTATGGGTGTTGGGTTGATAAAATATGAATTTTACTATAAGATATTTGATAATTTATTTAATAGAAAAATTGATATTTTTAATATTATCCTTATAATATATATATATATATATATATATATATACTATTTTGGAAATGAGAGCCGAACAGCAACTTGGAGATCTTGAAAATTGAAGAAAATAATAATAAGATAGTCTGAATTGGCATGTGCATATAGAGTCGAGATCTTCTAATTTTTTGTAGAGAGCTGTTAAGGTTGGAATTTTTTAAAAGTGATTATTAATATTATTATATTTTCAATTTAATATTATTAGACTCTTATCATTTATAAAATTAAATCTCAATTATTTAAAAATTCATTCTAAAATCTAAAAAAAAAAATCATAAGGATCTCATCATAGTGTGCGTATGCACTTACGTATGACAAGTGATTTCGTAGACAGAGAAAATATTCAGTCTCGCTATAGACCCCCAGTAAAACTTAACCCCCAGACTCCCAGTGACATGGTAGATGAGGTGGCTGCTGATGTGGAGGATGAGTGTAAATGCAGCAATGCAGCTGTAAGGAAAAAAAAAACAAAATCTGGATATAGCGGGAACCAAACCTATCTCCGCCATCTTCCCTCGTCTGTCCTCACCTGTCGTCGCCATCCTCCTCCTCCATCGTAGCTCTCCGCCGTCGACGACGGCCATAGCTTGCTGGGAACTCTGGTTGTCCTCTGTCTGTCCGTCGACGACTATTCGACTTTTTGCTGCGTGTCTATGTCTCCCTCGTCTGTCCTCAGCTCCTCTGTCGCTCTCTATCTTCCGCTGTGTCTCTGTCTGTGTCTCAATCTTCGGTTTATGAGGTAAAAAATCAATTTCATATGACTAATCTTAAATCTGAATACTGAAATTGGTAAATGAGTTCTCTTTCAGTTATATTGTAATTCTGAAATCTGAAATGTGACTAGTGAAATGAGTAAATGAGTTCTCTTTCAGTTATATGCTAATTCTGAAATCTGAAATCTGAAATTGAAATTTGAGTAATATGCTAGTTCTCTTTCAGTTATATGCTAATTCTCTTTCATATGAGTAATTTGAAATTTGCATAGTGTGCGTATGCACTTACGTATGACAAGTGATTTCGTAGACAAAGAAAATATTCAGTCCCGCTGTAGACCCCCAGTAAGACTTAACCCCCAGACTTCCAGTGACATGGCAGATGAGGTGGCTGCTGATGTGGAGGATGAGTGTAAATGCAGCAACGCAGCTGTAAGGAAAAAAAAAAAAAGAAAAACAAAATCTGAATATAGCGGGAACCAAACCTATCTCCGCTATCTTCCCTCGTCTGTCCTCACCTGTCGTCGCCATCCTCCTCCTCCACCGTAGCTCTCCGCCGTCGACGACGGCCATAGCTTGTTGGGAACTCTGGTTGTCCTCTGTCTGTCCGTCGATGACTATTCGACTTTTTGCTGCGTGTCTATGTCTCCCTCGTCTGTCCTCAGCTCCTCTGTCGCTCTCTATCTTCCGCTGTGTCTTTGTCTCCTCTGTCACTCCTCGTCTATCTTCCGCTGTGTCTCTGTCTGTGTCTCAATCTTCGGTTTATGAGGTAAAAAATCAATTTCATATGACTAATCTTAAATCTGAATACTGAAATGGGTAAATGAGTTCTCTTTCAATTATATTGTAATTCTGAAATCTGAAATGTGACTAGTGAAATGAGTAAATGAGTTCTCTTTCAGTTATATGCTAATTCTGAAATCTGAAATCTGAAATTGAAATTTGAGTAATATGCTAGTTCTCTTTCAGTTATATGCTAATTCTCTTTCATATGAGTAATTTGAAATTTGAAATCTGAAATATATGAGTAATATGCTAATTCTGAAATCTGAAATCTGAATAGTGATCTGCAATATGAGTAATATGAATAGTGAATAGATATATGCTAATTCTGTGAAGTTTGTGATCTGCAATATGAGTAATATGAGTAATATGCAATATGAGTAGTGAAGTTTGCTAATTCTATGAAGTTTGTGAATAGTGAATAGTTTATGATCTGCAATATGAGTAATATGCTAATTCCGAAATCTGAATAGTGAATAGTTATATGCTAATTCTGAAATCTGAAATTTGAAGTTATATGCTAATCTGTAATCTGCAATATGAGTAATTTGTCATTTTGTGAAGTTTAGTTCCATGTATATATATGAGTAATCTGAAATCTGAAATTTGGGCATTGTGATCATTCTGAATGGTGTTTATATAATCTGTAATCTAAAATATGAAGTTTAGTTCCATAATTGTTATATAATCAAATTAGTATTTTGTTAGCAAATTGTTAGGGAACTGATATTTGTTTAATTGTTATTTCAATACGCAAAGTGAAAGAATGGAGGTTAATTCAAATGCTGGTGAAAATCCTTTAATAAATGAGGGCGAAGACATTGAAGAACCTAATAAGGGTATGTGTTTTAGCTCAAGGGAAGAGGTGTACACATTTTATGGCAAATATGCTAAGCATGTTGGATTTTCTATAGCTCATAGAGCACAACATTTTGGAGATGATGGGCAATTACTAAACTTTGCAATTGAATGTTCTCGAGCAGGGCAGAGAAAAAAGAAATCATAAGTCAACCCTTTGAAGCCATGTTTGTCCACAAAAATTGGTTGCACAGCAAGGATACGAGGTAGTGTACAAAAGGATAGGAGATATAAACTAACCACAGTTAACCTTGAGCATAATCATGATTTGATTCCCACCGACTCACGTCATTTTGCAATGAATAAGAAAATTCTTACTCCTGTGAAGAGAAGATTAGAAATTAATGATCAAGCAGGGATTGGGGTGTCTAGGAACTTTCATTCAATGGTTGTTGAAGCAGGGGGATACGAGTCATTGACATTTGACGAGCGAGATGCAAGAAATTATATTGAGAGAGCTAGAAGATTGAGGCTTAGGGAAGGTGATGCCGAATCACTTCAAAGTAATTTTATAAGGATGCAAGCACATAGTGGGAGGTTCTTTTATGTGATTGATGTTGATGAGGAGTTTCGCATTAGAAACTTGTTTTGGGCTGATGCTAGGAGTCGGGCGACTTATGAAGCATTTGGAGATGTCGTTTCATTTGACACAACTTATTTGACAAACAAATATGACATGCCATTTGCTCCATTTGTCGGAGTTAATCACCATGGTCAGTCCATTTTGCTTGGTTGTGGATTGTTGTCTAGTGAAGACACTAACACATTTGTTTGGCTATTCAAGTCATGGTTAAGTTGCATGTCAAATCATCCGCCAAAAGCTATCATAACTGATCAGTGTAGAGCTATGCAAAATGCTATAAAAATTGTGTTTCCACAAGCTCGACATCAGTGGTGCTTATGGCATATCATGAAGAAAATTCCAGAGAAGTTGAAAGGATATGCTCAATATGAAGCCATAAAGTTGGCTATGCAAAATGCAGTTTATGACTGTTTGACAAGAGCTGAATTTGAGAGTAAATGGGAAGAGATGCTTGCAACATTCAATCTTTATGATAATGAGTGGTTGGGGGTACTATATGATGAGCGAAATCGATGGGTACCTGTCTATGTTAAAGACATTTTTTGGGCTGGCATGTCAACTACACAACGAAGTGAAAGTATGAATGCGTTTTTTGATGGATATGTAAATCCAAAAACTACATTGAAGCAATTCGTTGAACAATATGACAATGCCTTGAGAAATAAGGTAGAGAAAGAGAAGAAAGCAGACTTCAAGTCTCGACACAAATTGTTTGTGGATGAGGGGCAAGAGTCCTAGAATGAGAGAAGACTTTAGTTTGGGTAAAGATGAGACTCTTAGAGAGTTTATCCTAATTCTACTGGGAGTCCAAGATTAGCAGTAATCCTAAGTCCATTAGAGCTAGGCTCCTATTGGGACTAGGATTGAGTTGGTTATAAACGGGAGGCACCCCCATGGGTCTAAGGTATGCTTTTGATATTCTGTGTAGTGAGTTAAGCACTATTGGTTATCTTTGAGAGATATTGAGTACTGGCTTGATCGTCGGAGTACCCCCGGGTGGACAAGCCACCGCCGAAAACTCTTCTTTCTGTTGCAGGTCGTTCAGGCTTAACCTATTTTGCCGGTGTTCTCCAGTTGGGTACCTGTTTGGTAGTGTGGTCAGAAAACCACCCACACAATTTATGTATTCCTTGTAAATATAACGAGCTTTTGTATGCTATCTCTGAAATTGAATTTATAATAATGGTTTGCTAATGGGATCCGAGTAATAAAAAGTGGGGCGTGACAAAACCAGTCTTCTCTTTCTCTCTCTGTTTTAATGGAACTCCAACGTTTGACTGAACACCACTGTTTGGACTTCAATGAAGCTCGATTGGTCTGGGAACGAGCTCTACAAGTAGGGGTGTGCATAATACCCCCGAAACTGCCAAAACCGCATCGAACCGCACCGCCAAGGCAAATTCGTTATTATTTGCCAATCGAACTGCCGGTTTTTGGTAAGAAAAATGGCAAATTCTAGTAACACTTTTATCAATCCGTTGGTTTTTATTTTTCTTCCAAACCGCACCGACCCGCACCGCTATTAAATCATCTTTTATAAGATTCTAAAAATTCTTTTTTACTTAAGTTTGCTTGTTATTCTATACCTTAAAATATAGTATTACATTACTGCTCGAGGGGAATTCAAGATATCAGTAATCCAAAATAAAGTTGGATTCCAATTCACTTTTCAAGAATGAAAGGAATGCAGTTAGCTTAAAATGTAAATGCATGTCTTATCTGATGGGTTTATTGTTATTATTTTGAGGGCGTTACAATTAAATCATGTTTTATAAGATTCTAAAATTTTTTTTTACTTAAGTTTGCTTGCTGTTCTATACCTTAGAATATAGTATTACATTACTGCTCGAGGGGAATTCAAAATGTCAGTAATCCAAAATAAAGTTGGCTTCCAATTCACTTTTCAATCTTTTTTTTTTTTGGCCATGTTGCAAACTTGCATCAGCTCACTTTTCAATCTAAATACTTTTCAACAGTAAACATTTTCAATATATTGTAAATCCTGAATGTTATTAATTTTATGTATTGTAGTTGATCATTGTAGCTTTCACAGATGCTTATAATGAACTGATGGCATAGTCGTTGATATTATCATGTTGTTGTTACACTTGCTGCATCAGAAGAAAGCTTCGCAAGATGCTTAACATCACGGTATCTCTCGTCTTTTTTTTTATTCTTTGATTTAAGTTTTGTAATTTGAATTATATTTTTTATAAACCGCCAATCCGCCCGAACCGCCGAGGAAAATCCGCCATTATTTACCAACCGAACCGCCGGTTTTTGATAAGAAAAATAACAAATTCTAGTGACACTTTTATCAATCCGCTACCCGCCATACGGTTTCTGTTTTTCTCTCAAACCGCACCGACCCGCACTGCGCACACCCCTATTCCCAACCCACAATCCCTTTTGACTTTTCTCATAATTATTGCAACACCCTTTTCAATTTCTCTCATACACTATGGTTACACAAAAAAACAAAAAAACAAAAAAACAAAAATAAGAATTTAGCTATAAATCTCAAAAAGATATAACATCTAAATTTGAATTATGATTTAATAATATAATTATGTATTTTTTTTTTTGTATATCTATCAAAATTTTAAATCACTTAATGGAAAAAATTAATCAATTTTCCAAAATTATTGATTTTTAATTTATAAAATAGATTAAAAAAAACTATTGACTGATTTATTTATTCAATAAAAAAAATATTTCATAATCTCTCCCTCCTAATCTCTCTCACAAATTTTCAAAAAAAAATATTAAAACTTGCATTCTTTTTCTCTTTCCCAAAAAATCAGATAATATTTTTTATTAAAGTTGTAGATATCTACCTATATTTTATATATTATATTATAACATAACAAAAAAAACTAAAAAACTAATTTTTTTTAAAAAGTTTATCTAAATAAACTTTAAATCAATAAAACTCACATGTCTATCACATATCTAACTCACATCATAACTTACCTAAATAATAATAATTAATTTTTTGATTTTAAAAAAAAAAACCTCAGCATTTATTAACTTCTCTCAACCCAACCTCAGCATTTATTGACTTCTCCCAATGAACCCACTGGCCAAATTGGACGGTCCAGTCTTGATCTCCAATTGGAGAGAAACTGAACCCCTTAATTATCTACTAAACTAGAAGAAAGAGGTTCATGCAAGTGCTTAAAAAACAAGGTAAATTACAAATATACCTGAGGCTTGCTTAAAATATAAATTATTTTATGTGGTTTGAAAAATTACAAATATTTCATTGTTAGAATTTTTTATTTAATAAAATTAATTGAAAAAATGAAATTTCTAACTATTCACATATATAATAATAAAATTATATGAATTATTAATTGAAATAAAATTTAAACATTATTAAAAACTGTTAATTAACTTGATTATTTATTAATAAAAGGACCTATTTGTTATGAAATTAAAAACCTTCAGGAGCATAATGTAATTTCTAGAACTACAAGGAATAATTTGTAATTTAAAGAAACCTGAGAGGGTGTGTTTGTAATTTACCTTAAAAAAATGTATTCATTTCTTTTTTTAGCTTTACTTTGTCTTTGATGATTTTTTAAAATTTTTGTTAATTTTCTTTAAGGCTCTTCTAGTCTAGAAGTATCTAAAAAAAGATTTTTTTTTTGTTTTTTTTAAATGATAATAATAAATAAAAAAAACTCACTAAAAGCAAAATGTATCAACTTACTTGAACTTTTCCAATAACAAAAACAAAAGCAAACGAAAAGAAAAATAAAATAAAATAAAAAACAATTTTTTTAACATTCGTTAAACCCGTCAAATTTTTTAACAAAAAATTTATCTTAACAAAATTAAAAAGAAAAAAATTACTAAAAAAATTGTCAAACCAACTCTAAAGTTGTGTGCATGTGATTTTGTCAAATCTAAGAGTCTTCAAGCTATGTCAACCAGTTCAAAAATTAATAAATACAATAGTACAATTATTTGAATTGTTAATTCAAATATATTTCTGACATCATTAAAAATTATGAATTGATTTGATAATTTATTAATAAAATGGGTCATTTCTTACACGGTCAGAAACTTGAAAGGATGAGAATCACAACAATAATTCGTATTTTAAACAAATTTCAAGGGATATATTTATAATTTTATTTCAATGAAAAAAAAGGTGTAGATTTCAAATCCCTCAGGTAGAATCTTTAGTATATTATTTATAAATAAAATAAAAAAAAAAAAAATTAGGTTGATCTATAATTGCAACATTTTTCTTTTATCGTGTTCATTTCCAAAAAAATAAATGATAAATATGTTTTTAAAAATAGATTATCTATTTTTTTAGAGACAAATGCGTTAAAATAAAATAATACAATTATCAAATCGATCTAATTTTTTCATAAATGATAAACAGACACTACAAAATAAACTTAGATCACCAAAATGGGATTAGTGATGATCCCACAAGCCACTCAAGTTTTTTTTTTTTTTTTGGTGAATAAGTCATAAATTAAAAATTTAATCATTTCACTAATTTCATAACATTTTTTATTCATTTTTAAATTTCTTTTAACTTTTTCATAATTTTTAAACCATTTTTTTGCATAAATTCTGACATTAAATAATGTCCGTAAGGGCTTGTTATCATTTCTCTTTTAAAAAATTGCATGTTCATTTTTTCATATTAAAACGTCCAAATGACTGCCATTTTCCAACAAGATTTTTTAATAAAAAAAGTCACAAAAAAAAAGAGTTTTAAAAAAATACTAAAATTTTTAAAAAGTCAAAAACGCACTAAAAAGTACGTTATATACACCAGTCATCAAATTTTATTATTTGACTTTGTACTTTTTATTAATTATTAATTTTTAAATTAAAGATATCAAATATATTTATATAAGTAATATACAAAACGATAATTGCAACTAGTGATATAAATACAATTTTCAATTTAATTAATTACGTTGTGTTTGACTGGACATTAATTAATTGCCCAAGTGGGTTTTTGCTTTCACCACACATTCCATGAGAACCAAACAACGTATAACAGCAACGTCCACAATTTTTGGATTTGATATATATGGTGAATCTATTGTTATGGTGAGATTGGATTCCTTTTGGTTTGGGATTTAATTGGACAGTTCGGTTTATTCTGACTTTATTTTAAACTCATTTGATAATTTAAATTATTAATTGAGATTATTTATTGAGAGTCACTCGATTAGATCACATTCATCTAAAATATAATTAACGGATAATATAAATCAATCTAATTTTTGATATGTATAATCTTCTTATGAGGTCTTACAAAATGAATAATTTAGATTATTAAGACAGATCAAAAAATGGGCTCGCAATGGGTCGGTTTGGACCATCCAGTTGGATATCCATTTTGAGAAGATCCAATCTCTATTAAGATTATGGATAATGATCTCTAGGGAAATTACAAAATAGTGAAAAATGAGGTAAATAATTACAAAAATGTGATTTTTTTTAGTGGGCGGCGACGAAAAGTGGTTTTTTTTTAGTGGGCAGCGAGTTTGTGGGATAATAATAATGTTAGAGACTGAGGTTTAAGTTTGGATAGTATGAAAAAATTTAAAAAGTAAGAAAATTATTTAAAAAGTTAAAAAATTAATATTATTTATTAAAAGTTAATAATTATGGTTGTATAATTTTTAATCTTAATTTTTTTTTTATAAATTAATTTTTATAATTTTTTTTACATATTTTTTTTTATAAAAAGTCAAAAG